GAAATTTATACCTAAATGAGCTTGCATTCAAATGGGTATGAAGATTTAAGTCTTGATACAAGCCAAAATTGAAGAATCCATGAGTCTTATATCCAAATCTTGAAGATGAAACCCTTTCCAAACCCTTTGGATCCTCAAGTCTTCAAAACCCTCTGAAACTTAGAGAAAAAATATCAAAACGTACTATTCTATATGAAAATTATAATAATTGTTCGACCCTTAAAACTACAACTCTAACTAATATTTATAGCTTTCACAGATTTGTGCTGCAATGGATCATTCGGCGTCTTTAGTCGGAATCACCGATCAACTCAGCGATTCAACCTTTGGTGTTGTTCATCGCCGTCTTGCACCAACCTTCAGCATTGTCGTGCTCTGGGTCGTTGGGAGACATGGTACTGCTTCGCAGAACTGCTCGTCGACTCGATCCTTTCCTTCAGGGCTCAGCAAACTGGAACAAAAGGGAAAGTAAGACCCTTCGGCTACTCGCCAAGTGGACTCGGCGATCCTCAGGTCTTCATGTCTTCGTTCTTTTCAGCCTTTTCGTTCCTTTTTGCAACGTAGTGTCCATGCTTTATTTCAAACAACACATACCTGAAACTTAAGGGTTTTCATCAGATATTGAGATAAAATAAGCATTTGAGGACACAATTTCTATTAAAATATAGCCCTAAATGAGTACAATTTATGGACTCATCAACACCCCCAACTTAAAATTTTGCTTGTCCTCAAGCAAACTAAAGTTCAGCCGTTCAAAAAAGGTGTCTCGAATAGTGCTACACAAGACTCAATCATGAATGAACACAATAAGACTCAATTTACTTATGCAAAGATCAAATGTGCACTCAAAGACTCAAGTTGTGACTCACCAAAATCAAAGAACCTCATGCTCACAATACTTGCTTCAAATACAGGTTCAAGCTCAACCAAAGTGTTCAAATGCCCTCACACAAGGAATGATTCCATAATCACACAATGGTTCGCAGTTTAAAGCTTCGGAATCTGATGTAATGCTCACACTCACAAAGATGAACACAATGCATGCTTTCACCTATAGGTTTGCCCGTATTTTCCAATCAACATTTGTTTCAGTTCACTCAAGATCAAAATGTCTTTTCAAGGCTTGTGATGGAGCTGAGTGCAAAGGTATGGTGATTTAGGCTCAGTGACTTTTATACTCATGAGATGCGGTATTCACAACACTTTATTCCCTTTTCCTTCATCATTTTCTTTAGTTCTCATAAGTCATCCTATTATTCACTTTCCCATAGTGTGTTGGAAACCCCCTTTCTTTGTTACTTTATTCCACAATTTTCTTTTTCATTCTTTTTCTTTTTCTTTCTATTTTTCTCTTTCTCTCTCTTTTTTTTTTTGTATGGACGAGTTCCATTTTTCCCAACACCATGGGTTAAAGGAGACTTTCCTTGAACTTCTTGACTTGGCCTTATCTTTTAACCACACCCCCAACTTAGGCATTTGGCCTAAGATGGCTATTCAGTTAACCACGATTCAAAAGGATTATAGGTAGTGGATAAAAAAAGGTTATGATTTTCTCATGTTTTTTCCAAAGAAAGGCAAGGCTCAAGGGGTCTTCAAAAGAGAATCACACACTCACATGGTAGGTCACAAAAGAGGTATATGTCAAATTGGCTCACACTCTTAGAAGTTTCCTAAGATCATATCAAGAGATAGCATTACTTAGTTGACCGGACCCACGGGGCAAATTCTAGTATCTATCATGCTTGGTTCAAAGTAAGCTCATCACACTAGGCATTGACACTACAGTCAAACAAGACTCCACACTTTCGCTAGTGTGCAATGATCATCACAAGAGAATCAATTTGATAAAATGGCTAATAACAACGAGATGCAAAAAGTTCACATATTGTCTATGCAACTTCATTTTGCCTCATAGTAGCCGTACATTTATATTAGTTCAATTGTAAGAACTATTCAAGTCATCGATATTGATCAAAACTGAGACTTAAATTTTGCAAAAGAACAGTCACATTCAACAAACGAGAGGTGGCAAAAAATTTACGAACGAGTCAAAAGGACAAAATTATTTTGCAATTTAAAAGAAAAAGGAGACATAAGTTCAAGGATCCACAGAAAAGAAGTATTAACATCAGTTAAATAGAACAACCCAAAATACATCAATAAAACACGAAAATGAGTAGCACACAAAGGTGGGCCTCACCCCAACACAATTACAAAGCATTTGTCCTCAGATACACATGACAATATCCAAAATGATAATTAAAAAAAGATAGAGAGGGAGGTAAAGAAGGGATCCTGTCTAAGCAGTCGCTCCATCTGTCTGGGCATCAGTGCCTGGAGTGTTTTCATTCTGCTTCTGGTTATCTTTTTCTTTTCGCTCTGCTTCAGCTTCTGCCACGATAGTAGCCTCGATCATATTGTCCAACTCGTGAGCTACCACAAAGGCGTGTATCACATTGCTGAACTCTTGAGCCCACAAAGGTACATTAGGGTCGATGGGCATCCTCTTCCTCGAAATGGCTGTCTTATTTTCGCTCCTTGCAGTTCTTCTGAACTTTTGTGCTCTTATGTGTCTGGGTGGTATGTTTCTTCCTGCAACTTTTGGTCTTTCCATGTCTGCAAAGTCTTGAGATAATGTTAGAACATATTTGACAACCAAAACAAAGATATTCAACTGCAGAAAGACTAGATAGTCCATTCAGCGTGCCACAGAATACGTTCGGCGGGCCACAGACAATCCACCAAAAGTCACGTGCAAAATGAGTTAGGGGTGCAGACAAAGGTCGAATAAGAAGACTTTTGGCGAATCGTCGAGTGCTCTTGGCGACCTCATACTTCTCGCTGAAACTTACAGATGACACAACAAATAAAGCATGATAATAAGGGCGAGATAAGGTAATTAGGTGAACCGTGGAAGGCGAGCTCATCACAGCTCGCCGAATGACCCAACGTTCCTATTTTAGACCTAACTTCTCAAAATCAACCGCGCAACCCCCCGAAAATGAAATTTAAGAACATAACGCTGAAATTCGACCAACACCCATAACATACGAATACCACTCGTCACACATTAACTCCACTCGATCCATTGAAGAACAAGATTTCACAGTTTAGGCAATAAAGGTAGGGCTATTGAAGAAAAATTGATATATAAACAATTATTGCCAATCAGGGAGGTTCAACAGATTTCGACAAGATTACAATATTTGCAAATGAGTACAATTTTGATAAGATAATTATGGGGTTCGGGACTCTAACCTTTTGTGATGATCAAATGGATATTGAGATGCTAGGAAGCACTGTAATCTTACTCATAGCACAATTCGACACTAAAAATACTCTAGAAATGCAAAAATATAGAAACTAGAGTGCAGGTGTGAGTTTGGATAGGTAAAAAGTGAGTGAAAGTGAATGAAGTTGAAACTTTTAAACCTTTGGCTTGCAAAAACCGTCCAGTTTTCACCCACTCGACGACAATATTCAACCTCGCCTACTCACTCGGCGGAACGCCGACTGTTTGGTTTCTTCGCCGAAATTTACAGAACCTCTAGTGTACGTGGGGTCCAAACGGCGGTTTCCATCGTGATCGCCAACATGTTTGGCAATTCGCCAATAATTTCCAAAGCTCGCCGAGTTATACAGACTCTAATGTTGACAATGTATTGAGTTAGACTACGGATAAGGTCGGATTCGCCGACCCTTTCGGTGACTCGCCAACTGGATCTATTGCTAGCCAATTTGCACTTTTCGTTCACTGTGCACACTTCCATTTGCACAATCAATACACCATTACTTTATCAAAGCATAAGAAAGCCATAAATGGTTTTGGGTTGCCTCCTAAACAGCGCCATAGTTAACGTCGTGGCACGACGCAAGTCCACCTTCAAACCTCATTCTTGGGGTTAGCCATAGTATCACTCGGCAAACCCCCTTGCTATCTCAGATTTAGGTAGGATGAGATATGACCCATCTGGGTTTCTAACTGCTTGATTGAAACTGAATGCAAGGTGATGATCTGGCTAAGGGTAGATACATCATCTTTCATGCCTTTTAACATTTTGTCTGACCTTTCAACTTTGTTGAGGATACGTGAGAGCATATCCACAAACCTACCACCTTCTGAATGGCGCTCATGGGGAAGAACATATATATCCTTCTTCCTATCTTTCCAATTTGGATTACGATCCCTCCATTCACGATCTCGGTCCTTCCAGCCTTCGTCTCTAGCCCAACCTTGTTTACCACCCTGCCTTGGATAATTTGAGCGGCAGCCACCGCCTTGGTTGTCTAGAAATTTTACCTCCTCGTTATACAAGGCTTCAAACTTCATCTCCTCACGATTAGCACACCCGACCCCCCCAACGTTGACACCACGGGCACTATCCCGGATGCAATTTTTGGATAAAATATCAAGCTGCGTCATGATTTTGGCCATCTTCTGGTCTCTCTCATTGTCGTTTTCAATATGCTCCTTGGATAGCTTGAAGATGACTAGGGAGACTTGGTCCTTGCGAGTGTACCACGCTCTGTTAATGGTTGTCATGCCATCAAAAAGTTGGGCTGCTACTGCATATGGCTGCTGCATTAAGCCTCCAGGCAAGAGTTGGTCAGCGACACCTTTGTTTACCGAATCCAAACTACGATAAAAGTATTGAAGTACAACGTTGTCCGGAAAACCGTGGGTTGGGCATTGCAGCACTAACTTTTTAAACCTTAGCCAGGTTTCGTGCAGAGATTCTCCTTCCAGACGCTTAAAGCTCAGGATGCTATCCCTAAGTGACATCATTTTTTAGGGAGGTAAAAATCGCATTTGAAATGCGGTTACCAATTCCTCCCAAGAAGTGATGGATTCTCGTGGCAACTCAGCTAGCCATTTGCACGCCTTTCCCATCAACAAGAAAGGGAATAACCTTAATAGGACTGACTCCTGAGAGATGGTTTTTAACGAGAATGGTCCACATACATCTACGAAGTTTGGAAGATGCTCGTGAGGATCCTCATGAGCCAATCCACTGAAAAGTCCCTTTAGTTGCAAGAGTTGCAACATGGTGCTCGTTATGTGGAACACTGCATTTCCCTCGGCTGGGGGTAACCGGATGGCTCCAACACCTCCCATCAGATGGGGGTCATTAATGTTGGGCTCTTGGACATCGTTGAGATTCCCGATGTCATCTTGGTGGCCCACCTAACTGTCGTTGCTACCATTAACACTCATGCTTTATGAAATATTCACAAAAGCAAATAAAACAAAACCAAAAATTAGGTGAGTAAACTACAACTAAGAAGAACAAAAATTCTACTAATCTAAAAAATCTCTAATAATACCATTCCCCGTCAGCGGAGCCATTTTGATGTTTGCTTAATCAAGACACAACTTCCGATGCAAGTGTCTACGATCGTACAATAGTTTAGTAACCCAACCAAAGGTTGGGATCGTTCTCAAGAGATTTTGTCAATTAATAGAAAAATTAAATTGAGTTCTAACTAGTCATAGCTAAAGACATTAACGATTAAAATATTGTAAATTAAAGGGTGACACAAGACTGTCAATAACAATGGGGTTTTGTCATTAGTGAGCAAAAACAACAAAATAAAAAAGGGTTTTTAAATAATGAGAGGGGGATTCAAGGGATGTGAATGGAATACGGGATAGAATAAATCATTGGGTACATGTTTTTGATAAAGAACTCGTAGAGTAATTATAACTAGGCTGGCCTTTAAGGGGGATAAGCTCTCTCTCGAGCAACTTACCGTGTTTCAAATGCGTTCCTCTCGCACACCCGCTGGCCGCATGAAGAACAGACTCCGCCTTAACCCACTCACTCTTTCGAGCTGAGTGTGTGGACATGGGACTAGGGTTCACTCTCTCGACCTGAACCTCATGTTGACCCACTCACACTGGCCATTAATTTAATGGTCTTAGTTTTACGACCTCTCTCTCGAGCAAGCCGAAAACACATATATGAGATTATATTTGCAACTACAACCTCATTAACTTCATACACAACCACTAAATGAAATCACATTTAAACTATGAATAGACTATCAGAAAGCAAGACCCAACAACTAATCTAATCCATATTCACAAAATAACACCCCAAGAATTGGGGTTATAAGCCACACATGTATAAGAAATAGAAATTTATAACAAATTGACCTTGCATTCAAATGGGTATGAAGATTTAAGTCTTGATACAAGCCAAAATTAAACAATCCAAGAGACCCAAATCCAAATCTTGAAGATGAAACCCTTTTGAAACTTCAAGTTTTCAAAACCCTCTCAAGCTTATAGCAAAAATATCAAAAAGTACTATTCTATATGAAAATTATAATAATTGTTCGACCCTTAAAACTACAACTCTAACTAGTATTTATACCTTTCACAAATTTGTGCTGCAGCAGATAATTCGGCGTCGTTAGTCGGATTTGCCGATCAACTCAACGATTCGTCCTTTGGTGTAGTTCATCACCGTCTTGCACCAGCTTCAGCATCGTCATGCTCTGGGTCATTGGGTGATATGGTACTGCTTCGCGGAACTGCATGGTAATGCGCCGACTGCTCCTTTTTTCCACCGACTTAATCCTTTCTTTCAGGGATCAGCACAATGGAACAAAAGGCGAAGTAAGACCCTTTGGCGACTCGCCAAGTGTACTCGGCGATCCTCAGGTCTTCATTTCTTTGTTCGTTTTAGCCTTTTCATTCCTTTTTGCGACATAGTGTCCATGCTTTCCTTCAAAACATCAAATACCTGAAACTTAAGGGGTTTTCAACAGATATTGTGATATAATAAGAATTTGAGGACACAATTTCTATTTAAAAAATAGCCCTAAATGAGTCCAATTTGTGGACTCATCAACCACTCACAACCCCATGACCACGGTCCGTGGATATACCCACGTGGCATCCTGGTGAATCGTTAGTGGGTGTTTGTGGCTTGATTTTTAGGTCACTAACCCACGACCCCTCACCCATAGGGCGTGGGTTGAGCGACGCGGTGTATGACCCCCCTCTGTAGGTCATTGAGTAAGAATTTCTAGGGATTTCCTCAAGGACCTAGATACGCTCAAATTCCATCTCGCTAAAGAAGTATAAATGATCATTGTCAAATAAAGAACCCAACTTGTAGGTTAGGGTCGATCCCACGAGAAATATGGTTCAGACTTAAACTTAACTCACAATTATATCCGTTTAGTCAAAGTATTTCCGAAAACAAGTAATTAAAGGTCGTGGGGATTTGTGTAAGCAAATAATTGATTGTTGGCTAAGTATCAAGTGAGCCAACTTTAAACTTTGTTGTTATCAATGAGAGAGAAAAACTAGGGTGTATATGTTCCCCATAAGCTTTTAACGCGGTAATCCTAATAATAGTAATCCTTTCCTAGTGTTTTGAATGCAAAGTTGGTAAGATATACTTTACTAACCCTTACCTTTACCTCAGATTAGACATCACATCAATGTATGGCTTAGTTTTCACCCTCACACCAATTGACATTAGACTATTAGATAGTATCACACTAAATCTCTGTTGTTAATTCTTTTCTCACTAACCACCTCCTTGGTCCAGAAAGTAGCAACGAGGAGAGTTTTAATGTTGGCCACCGTTAAAAAGTATTCTAGACAAAAGAATTAACAATATATGCATAAACACTATTCAAGAATTACTTAGTTATTATTCATACGTTGTTAATTACTCATGGTTCCCACAACCCTAGTTGTGGATTTCACTATTCATGCTTGAAAGAACACAGTTAATGTTTTGATAATAAGAATTCATGCATTTACGTTTAGAGTAGAAGAAACCCACAATCTCAAACTGAATTTCGAAGTCAAAATCGTATAAACCGTAATCCGAAAATCAAATTGCTAAAGTTGCAAGTTAATTCCCAAAGCAAATATCAAGAACTAAAAGTAAACAATAATGTCTAACCCCCAAAATCAAGGTTTACATACCCTATTTATAGAAAAATATGTCCTAAACAAAAAGGAAACAAAATAAGGAAATAAACTTTCTGGGATGCGGCTTCGATCGACGACTTACACCTACAGACTGTGGGTCAACCTACAATCCGTAGGTCCCCTTCGTTGGTCAACACTTAGAACTTTTCCACAGAGACCGGAACCTTCAACTCCCAGTTCATCATCGACGAACTTGCAGGACAACCTACGGTTCCTGGGTCTTATTCTGTGGCTCCACACTTAGGATTTTCATCAGGTACTGGAACTTCAACTCCCAGTTCTTTAACGACGGATGTGCAGGACGACCTGTAGGTCGACCTACGGTCCGTCAGTCGCTTTGTGGTTCCATACATGCTCATACTTCCCTGATGCTCTATCTACGCCACACATCGACGGACAGTTAAAGGACCTACGGTCCGTAGGTCATTTCTGTGGGTAGCTCTTTCTGCAGATTTTTAGCTTTTAATCTCACTCAACCACGTCCAAGCCTATTTCCTATAAACATGACACAAAAACATTAATTCCAACACAATATAGCTCTAGACACACACAACTTCCAAGTCAAATGTATCAAAAATATCGTATACTCACGATATATCAGACCCATGGTTGGTCCTTGGGGGTCGTACCTTGACGTTCTAACATGAAACCCTTTATTTCTAAGTATGGGGAGTTACATTCAAGACTCTAACCCTCACGTTAAGCTATAGTTTAGTCTAGTAATTTCCGGGGTGTTACAATATCTCCTCCTTGGGAACATTCTTCCTCGAATAATGAACTAGACACCTTATAGAAGTAAGGACTCAAGACTAGCAGCCCATCATGCATGCAACATCAAAATAATGCACAAGTTAAAGTAGGAAACATCAACTTCAACTTAAAAAATATCAATGCATCACAAGGAAGTAGGAACTACATCTAACAACCCATTATGCATGAAATTTTACCATTTATCATATTCATAGGAAGAACTACCTTCTCCAAGCTTTAAAGCATGCTCAGCACAATCTCAAGGAGTCAATATGCAATTTACTCTTAAAAAGAATAACTATAACATGTTCAATAATTCATCTCATGGAGCATATAGGAAACTCATACTTAATGCACATTAACATGAGGAAAATCAATCATATAAAAATCATTTTCTTTCAAAACATAAGCTTTCATTAACATGCATAACTTAAGGAGATCATGGAACACATAAAACACACGTGACTTCTCATAAGGAAAAAATCATGATGAACTTGTCATCTTAATGCTAAAGGAGGAATACAAGGAAAAATGATGAAAATATCGGGTCATTTTATTGGACCTCGGCCTCCCAAGTAGCACCCTCACCTAAAACCCTCACTAAAAGACCACTAATTAACACTTTCATGGAAGCAACTTCCTTGTTCTCCTATTTCTTAACTTGCCGGTCTAAGATCCCTACCAGTATTTCTAAATTACAGAACTTCTAATTAGCTCCTAACTCTTCTTAAGAAATTTATGAATGTCCGATCTCCAACACCCTTCTATATAAAAAGACATGGAAAACTGGATACACCGGTGCCACTCTTTAAGCAACTTTAGTTCACAAGCAACCTTTCCAACTCCACTCAAGATCTCATATGAGCCTACAAAACCGGGACTACACTTCCCAAACTCACTACACCTCTTCAAGGTGAGAATTTCCGGCTATTCCAAATCATGAACATCAAGGACCTCAACTACCTTGCTATCTAAGCACATCATCTCCCCCTTGGGAGTAAGCCTATACAGACTCTTGTAAACATCATTTATTTCAATTCTAAGGTCGGAGCAAGTCATTACTAAGTTGTCACATCCAT